ATGTGGAAAAAAAAAAAAAAAAAGAAGGAAAAAAATGTGTGTTTTACCATGAAATCTCCAAAAAGGTCAATCACAAATGTGGAATCTGTTCATTTTTATGAGTGACAAGAGCCAAAAACTCACAGTACGACGACACAAATTGATATTTTAAGAAGATTTATTTGAGCTGTTGTGTGTGTTTAATTATTACGACTCTTGTGTAGAAGGTAAACGACGTCTGAAACTCCACAAATACACGGAAAAAAACAAAAAAAACGTGATGTGGAAATATTTGTCACCTGGGTTACATACACAAGATTTGTTTCAGACGTCGTTTACCTTCTACACAAGAGTCGTAATAATTAAACACACACAACAGCTCAAATAAATCTTCTTAAAATATCAATTTGTGTCGTCGTACTGTGAGTTTTTGGCTCTTGTCACTCATAAAAATGAACAGATTCCACATTTGTGAATTGACCTTTTTGGAGATTTCATGGTAAAACACACATTTTTTTCCTTCTTCTTTTTTTTTTTTTTTTTTCCACATAAACAGTATTTGATGATGTAATGCAGTAACAGAGTAAGAGTCGAGAGAGAAAACTAAAGAGAGAGAGAAGAGAGGAAGTGGAATCACTGTTTGTTCTCATAATCGATTCATTTTTTCTGTATTTGTAGTTGTTTTATTTTTATTTTATTTATTTATTATTTTTTGGGTGAATGTCTCCACAGATGTTGCTGCTGGTCCCTTGGGTGCTGCTCCTCTTCCTCTGCTCGGGTGAGACTCAAGCATCACCCCTGTCCTCTTCCTCTCCGATACTCAACTCTCTCTCTCTCTCTTCTCTTTTCCCTTTCATATACTGTCTCTCTCTCTCTTTCTCTAGTAATCTCTCTCTCTCTCTCTCTCTCTAGCCTCTTTTCCTTTCATATACTGTGTCTCTCTCTTTCTCTGCTAATCTCTCTCTCTCCTCTTTTCCCTTTCATATAGTGTCTCTCTCTCTCTTTCTCTAGTAATCTCTCTCTCTCTCCTCTTTTCCCTTTCATATACTGTGTCTCTCTCTCTTTCTCTAGTAATCTCTCTCTCTCTCCTCTTTTCCCTTTCATATACTGTGTCTCTCTCTCTTTCTCTGCTAATCTCTCTCTCTCTCTCCTCTTTTCCCTTTCATATATTGTGTCTCTCTCTCTTTCTCTAGTAATCTCTCTCTCTCTCTCTCTCTCTAGCTCTTTTCCCTTTCATATACTGTTTCTTTCTCTTTCTCTGGTAATCTCTCTCTCTCTCTCTTTCTCCTCTTTTCCCTTTCATATACTGTCTCTCTCTCTCTTTCTCTGTTAATCTCTCTCCTCTCTCTCAGATACTGAACTCTTTCTCTCTCTCTGCCAATCCCCCTCTCTCTCTTCTCTACCTCTACACTGACCCGTCTCTTTCTCTCCTCTATCTCTCACTCTCTTTCCTCTTTCTCAGATACTAAACTCTGTCTCTCTCCTCTCTACCCCTCCATATCTCTCTCTCTCTCTTTCTCTGCTAATCCCTATCTCTCTCTCTCTCTCTCTCTCCTCTCTCTGATAATGAACTCTATCTATCCCTATGTCTCTCTCTCCTTTATCTCTACACACCATACTGTCTCTCCTGTATCTCTCTACCCCTCCATTTCTCTCTCTTTTTCTCCCCCCTTCCCATCTCTCTCTCTCCTCTATCTTTATGATCCCTATGTCTCTCTCTTTATCCCCATTTCTGCTTTATCTCTCTCCCTCTCCTCTCTCTCTAACCCTCACTATGGCTCTCTCTCCTCCCTATCTCTCGTCCTTTCTCTCCTATCTTTCTACCACTCCCTAGCTCTCTCTCTCTTCTCTATCTTTACAATCCCCATCTCTCTCTCTCTCTCCTCTGTTTACCTACTACTACTCTATGTCTCTCTCCTCTACCTCTACAATGCCCTGTCTCTCTCTTCTCTGTCTCTCTCCATGCTGTCTCTCCTCCATCCTCTATCTTTTCCAATCCCTATCTCTCTCTCTGTCTCCTCTTTCTCTCTCTCTACCTCCCCTTTCCTTTACCGCTCTCTTTACCACATCTCTCTCTCCTCTACCACTACTCTCTTTTACATTTCTCTATCTCTTTCTCTACTCCTCCCCATCTCTCATTCCTCTATCTCTATCCCTCCCTCTCTCTCTCTTTTTCTCTCCGCTCTTTTTACCAAACACTATCTCTCTTTCTCTCCTCTCTACCCCTCCTTATCTCTCTCTCTCCTCTATTTTTACCAATCCCTATCTCTCTCACTGTCTCCTCTCTTTCTCTCTCTACACCCCCCTCCCCCCCTTCCTCTACCTCTCTCTTTACCCCTGTCTCTCTCACTAACACTTAATCTCTCTCTCTCTCCTCTCTCTCTCTAACCCTCACTTTGGCTCTCTCTCCTCTATCTCTCTCTCTTCCCTATCCCTTGCTCTTTCTCTCCTTACTCTCTACTCCTTCCTATCTCTCTAACAATCTCCTATCTCTCTCTCTCTCTCTCTCACCCTCCACCCTCTACTCTACCTCTCTCTTTACCACCATCTCTCTCTCCTCTATCTCTCTACTCCTCCCTATCTCTCGCTTTTTCTCTCCTCTCTCTACCCCTCTCTCCTCTGTCTTTACCAATCCTTCTCTCTCTCTCTCTACCCCCCCCCCCCCCCCCCCCCTTACCTTTCTCTTTACCCCTATCTTTCTCTCCACCTCTTTATCTCTTTTCCTCTCCTCTCTCTCTCAAACCCTCACTATGGCTCTCTCTCTTCTATCTCTCTCTCACTCTTTCTCTCATCTCTCGCTACCACTCCCTATCCCTCTCTCCTCTCTTTACCAATCACTATCTCTCTCTGCCCCCCCCTTTCCTTTACCTCTCTCTTTACCCCTATCTCTCTCTCCATCATTTTATCTCTCTCCCTCTCCTCTCTCTCTAACCCTCACTATGGCTCTCTCACTATCCCCCACCTCTTTTTTTTACCCCTATCTCTCTCTCCTCTCCCCTCTCATACTCTCTCTCTCTCTGATCCTCCTCTCTAACATGCCTTCTTCTCTCTCCTCTCTCTCACGGTCTCTCTCTTTCTCTCTTTCAGGTGTTTGTGGCTCGGGCTCTAAGCTGGTGATCCAGCCGTGTGACCGTCCTCTCTTTGAGTCCAAACTGGTCCTGTGTCGGTCGGAGTTTAACCTGAGCCTGGAGCGTTCGGAGCACAGATACACTCAGGACTGCGTGTGGCCTCACGTCAAAAGGTAACACTGTCACATTTACACTCACAGTCTGAACTCCTGACCGGGGTTGGGTGGTTTTGTTTCATTTATAAACACGTCCCAGTGGCTCGGTGGTCAGGAGATCTCAGGACGACATGAATATTAAAGTGGACCTGTTCTCTTTCTTCTGGTTGACGCTCTTAAGTTGTATTCTTCAGAGTTGTTTTATTATTTTCAACCCCCATTATCCGCCGGTACACTCCCACTTTGACGGACGCACTTCCTTCTCCGGTTTTATTTTCTTAATCATTGATACACATAAGATTCTACAGTGTTGCGTCATCATTTTGGTCCAGATGTAAAAAATAAAAACTAATGTTATAGTCTGATGTGCAGCGATACTTTTCAAAAAGTAAAGTAAGTAAGTAAGTTTTTTATTGATATAGTGCTTTTTCATAGACATTTGTCACAAAGACGCTTTACAGAGCATTATTCATTCACTCCAGACCCGGTGGTGGTAAGATACTATTGTAGCCACATCTGTCCTGGGGCAGACTGACTGAAGTGTGGCTGCCAATCGGTGCCATCAGCCACTCTGATCACCACCATCACAATATGAGCTCAGAGGCACGACCATGTTTATTAAAAAGAAAGTCAGAACAAACATTATGAAATTTTGTAAATCTGTTAAAGGGCTGGAGCTCTGGAACAACTGGACAGAAAACCTCAAACTGTGCCCCACGCTCTTTCACTTTATAAAGAAGTTTAAATGTTTAACTCTGGACAGATACATGAAATTAGGATACTTAGTTTGTGCTGTAGGACTTTGTTGTACTGTTACTGATTAGTTTGTTTCCTCTTGCTGTATTTATGAAGATGAACTGATGTTAAGATGAAGCTCTGACAAAGGAATATAGGGTAAAGGGCAGAATAAACTTAAGCTTCAGCCTGCACCTTTTCGGTCTGTGTGTGTTAAATATGACTGTCTGTGAATTAATGTCAAAATATACCTGTGGCCCAAATAAATAAATAAATAAAAATAATCACTCACACACACTCCACTTTCATACTAGGCCATGTGGGTGAAGTGCCTTGCCTTGCCACAATGACAGTTTTGTTTTTGTGTGTGTGTGTGTGTGTGTGTGTGTGTGTAGGGTGTGTGTGTGTGACTGGTGCCCCCCTGTAGCACCTGATTTTCCCAGCAGTCTCCCATCCAAGTACTAACCAGGCCCGGCCCTGCTGAGCTTCTGAGATCTGACAGGATCAGGTTTTGACAAGTCGCTATGTTCACATAGTGCAGCACTCTCTTCATAATTTTGACCTGAAAAATGTACTTGTCCACAGTGTTTGCAGTAAGTGCACGTCTGCTACATTTACAGTGTCAATGGGGGGCGGGGATTTCGTGCCGACGAAAGGTGAAAGTGAGGACTGGGACGCTTTGACTGTAGTTTTGCGAGGATTCATGTGGTTCAAGACGGGGGGCAATTTTTGTCAATTGCTGCGGGAAACACTGCCCCAATCATGGACGAGTCTTCTGTGTAGCTGCACATGTTTTAGTTGAATGTGAACACAAACAAACTGTGAAAACTCACTCCCACAGCCCTGCACCGAACCCAATGTCCTGCACCGAAACTGTTCAGCACGAATACATGAACCATTACACCCGTACAGGACAGTATCCCAGCTGTGTGGCCCTGTCGTCCTGCCTCCTCTGGAAGGATACAGCACCAAAACCTGTTTAAATCAGCTGAGCGACACATCACAGAAACATCACGAGACTCTGAGGAAGAGCACAGGGAACAGAACAAACTGTCAGGATGAAAACTAACCCTTGGTCTGACAAAAGAAGCTAATAACATAAATTATTCTGAGAAGTGTTTGAACCACTAATCTTTGGGTTGGTGGGTGAGAGCACTAACCAATCGATACTTTGCGGTGACATCACGCTGGGGGTGTATCACCTGTATCTCTGTTGGTGAAATGTTCACCAGTTGCCACGGTGACACGATGCACACACAAAAACGTTTTTTTTTTATCTTCAGAAATCTCCAGAAAAAAATACAAAATGGATTTAAAACAGCACATTTTCTTGAGGTCAATACGAGCGTTCGTGGTCCTGTTTAGGAGTTTGATTGTTTAGGAGTGAAGAACTGAAAAACAGTTGTGTTAAAATAAAACTCAGATTAAAGTGTAACTTGAGTAACAGAGCTTCAGACAGAGCAGAGCCGACAGTTACCATCACAGCCCTCAGGAATGTTGATGACATGAGCTGCACATTATCAACACTATTTACTCCTTAAAACAATATTTCCCCACATTATTTTGAGTCAAAGTAGAATTCCCTCTTCATCTTGAGAAAATGTCCTTGTGTTTCTCCTGCAGTTCCTATAACGCCCTGAAGTTGTGTGTGGACAGCGAGGCGCGCTCTACCTGGTGCAGTGGAGTGGGGACGCTGGTGGACGACTTCTTCATGGACGTGCATCAGACTTATTTCTCAGAGTGCGGGAGGATCCGGGACCCGCCTGTACCAGTGCTCGTCCTCTTGGTGGTGCCGCTCGTCATGTGCACACTCCTGCTGCCCCTGCTGTGTACGCACCTGACCACCAGGGACATGGCTTAAGAATGGACTCTACTACTACTAATACTACTACTACTACTACTACTACTACTATTACCACCACTACTACCACTGCTACTACTACTCCTATTATTACTCCTCCTCCTCCTACTACTACTACTACTACTGCTGTTACTACTGGTACCACCACCACCCATCTGTGCACCTAACTACAAGCAACTAGACTTAAGAAAGGACACTACTACTACTACTACTACTACTACTACTACTGCTACAACTACTACTACTACTCTTATGGTGCTAATACTAATATGTAATAAAATAAATAATCAGGAACCAGACTATACTATGACTACTACTACTACTACTACTACTAGAACTACTAGGTTACTTCTATCTGCATTTGCAGCTTCTAATCAGAAATCAAACAATTAGTCATACATTAGTCTTTCTAGTGAGCTACTACTACTACTACTACTACTACTACTACTACTACTTATACTACTACTACTACTACTTATACTACTACTACTACTCCTACTCCTACTACTATTACTACCACCACCACTACTACTACTACTACTACTACTACTGCTACTACTACTTCTACTACTACTACTACTACTACTACTACTAATTCAACTATTACAAATAGTACCACTTCTATTACACTGCATTGTATGAGAATGTGTTTTAAATTTTCTGATGTCATTTTGTAAATATTTATGTCACTTATTGTGCTGGGTCATTATTTAAAAAAATAAATCCAAAAGAAATAAAAAAAAAGAAATAAAATAAAACAAAATAAAATCATGTCTTTTTGTCTGTTGCACATGTGCTTTAGATCAGTCCCTTGCACACACTCAAGGAAACATTTATTATGCACACTCTTGTTTTGAAAGGAATAATCTATTCTACACTCTCTTATTTTGAAAGCAAACCTCTATTCTACATGCTTTTATTTTGAAAGCAAACCTCTATTCTACATGCTTTTATTTTGAAAGCAAACCTCTATTGTACATGCTCTTATTTTGAAAACAAGCCTCTGTTCTTATTTTGAAAGCAAGCATTTATTCTACACACTTTTACTTTGAAAGGAATCATTTATTTTACATGCACTTATTTTGAAAGGAATCCTATATTCTACACGCTCTTATTTTGAAAGCAAACATCTATTCCACACACTCTTGCTTTGAAAGGAGTCATCTATTCTACATACTCTTATTTTGAAAGCAACCCTCTATTGTACATGCCCTTCTTTTGAAAACAAGCATCTGTTCTTATTTTGAAAGCAAACATTTATTCTACACACTCTTATTTTGAGGGGGATCATTTCTTTTACATGCTCTTATTTTGAAAGGAATCATATATTCTACATGCTCTTATTTTCAAAGCAAACATCTACTCCACACACTCTTACTTTGAAAGGAGTCATCTATTCTACATGCTTTTATTTTGAAAGCAAACCTCTATTGTACATGCTCTTATTTTGAAAACAAGCCTCTGTTCTTATTTTAAAAGCAAGCATTTATTCTACACACTTTTACTTTGAATCATTTATTTTACATGCACTTATTTTGAAAGCAAAACTCAATTTTACATGGTCTTACTTTGAAAGCAAACCTCTTGTCTACACACTCTTATTACGAAGACAAATATTTATTCTACACACTCTTATTTTGAAGGGGATCATTTCTTTTAATGTTCTTATTTTGAAAGGAAACATCTATTCTACAGGCTCTTACTTTGAAAGGACACATGTGGGCCAGCTGTGTGGACTTAGTTTTACTGTCAAAACTCAGTCAATATTTGTTTGAGAAAATGCCTATTTTCTTTGTTAATAAAGTCAGCGTTGCTCTGGTCTCTGGTGTGTGCAGGATTTCTGGTGAAACTTGTGACTGACCTCCCACGGCTCACTATCCTCATTATTCCACATTTCATCACCACTTTAAGCTGTGTACACTTCACCTCTGTATATTAGTTATTTTCAGACTCAACATTCCCTGGGGGGCGATGCTAACTGGACGCACTGCTCTGACTGAAGCTCTTACTCAAATTAGACTTTAATCAGATTTTTACTTGAACACAATCTGATCATAAACAACTGACTGATTTGGAAGTGCATTCACCTTTTTGTTAATTTAAATCCATTTTGAATTGTTTCTTGAGTTTTTAGAATATCTTAAATCTTATCTGGCGGTCTTTGCTCATATGTGCGTCGTGTCACCATGGTAACCACTAATGTTCCGCAATAAACATTCATGCAGACCCCCCTAGAATGATGTCACTTAAAAGTATCAATTGATAGCATTGTTTTTTTTTTTTTTTTTTTTTCATGAAATATCGAAATGTGACTAGACCCATGAACTTCTTGTAGTAGGTTGTATTTATGTTCTAGAACATGCAGTGCTTCCAGTTAGCTTCACCACACAGGGATTGTTGATGCCATCAGCTGCAAAGTATCAAAGCAACTCTACGAGAACCTGACCTCACTGGAAGATTAATATATTTATTTTTTACTTTTTTTTTTTTTCCATTGGTACATGCTTTTATTTACTAATTTTTTTCAATTTTTTTTAACTTTTACTTTTATTTATTTACATGAAAAAATATTCATGTATTTTTTTCTTTACTCATGTATTTATGTACACTTTTATTTATTCATTACATTTATTTATTTCCACTTTTATTTTTACATTTGTGTATTTCCACATTTATTCTTTTTCCACTTTTCTTTGTCAGTTTTATGCAAATGAGTGGGGGGGGGTAACTACATACGCATAAATGTGTAAAAGCATTTATTTATTTATTTATACATTTATATTTTATTCACTGTTTTAATACTTTTCAACTATTCTTTTTTTTTTTTTTTTTTTTTTCCTAATTATGTCATGATTGTCTGTATCTATCTATCTATTTATATTGAAGTAAAAAATTTCAATACATGCATCACGAATTTTGGACTTCCGGTCATCGCGCAATGCATACTGGGAAGGATTTTCCGAAAAAGTGCCATGTTTTTTTTTCCAGTGGGATGAGTCTATTTTCAAAGTCGATCTTTTCAAGTCTTTTGAACCATATCACATTTGTTTCTGGTTCTGATATTGCCATATTTTAGTTTTGGGATTCAGACATCATAATTGTGTGGTTGGATGTCCTAACAGTGGAAAACGGCTTGAGAAGTGAACTAAGTTTATGAACTCCATAACTGCAAAAGGGAATCAGATTTTGGGTGACTGCAAACCTCTGTTCAAACTGTTTCTGTTTCTCTGGTTCTTCCTGTGGATCAATCTGCCCATCGCCTTCACCTTTCACTATTTTTCAATTCCGTTGGGAAGAGAAACAGTTTGAACAGAGGTTTGCAGTGACACACATCTGATTCCCTTTTGCATTTATGGAGTTCGCAAACTTTCAAAGCCCGTTTCTTGAGCTGTTTTCCAACAACCACACAATTACAATGTCCGAATCCCAAAACTAAAATATGACAATATCAGAACCAGAAACAAAAGTGATATGGTTCAAAAGACTTGAAAAGATCGACTTTGACAATAGTCGAGTTTCATTGTTGACAAAAGCGCGCGTTGCATGCTGGGAATTATTTTGGTCGGCGGCAAGAAACACTAATTCAACATGACGGACGGAGCGAGAAAGCACGTAAAGGGTATTGATCCCGGTTATTTATCCACTCTAACGGCAGAGGAGCCAAGACCATTTGACCAGAAATTGGTCATAAGCATCGATGGAGCCAAATCACCCTTTTCAACCCCGACAAAAGGTGGACCAAACCAAATTTCTGGTCAGAATCGCCAACTACCTGGACAAATATTCACTTGGGCGATATCCACAATGACTTGGTGGAAACTCCTGGGCCATTCACAGCAGAAAAGATGAAAACCTCCAAGAGTCTTGATGTGTGTTTTGAACTTGTTGGAGTTCGTGGTTTGTTAGGATCTTCTACGTTTGCTCTGCGAATGTTTCTATTTGCTTCTATTTGTGCATCCGATAATGCAGCAAGAATTTACCATTATCGGGGATAAATATGCAAGGTTATGCAATCTGTTTGACCGCTATCCTGTTTCTTGTCTCTGACCAAAATATTTCCCAGCATGCAACATGCGCTTTTAATAACAATGATGTCAGCTGAAACTCGTCTATAGACACGTCCCACTGGGAAATCAAACATGGTGGTTTGGCTCACTTTTTCAGAAAAATCCTTCCCAGTATGCACTGTGCGATGACCAGAAATCCAAAATTCCTGATGCATGTATTGCAGAGCCTCAATTCCGTATGATAAATTGTATGCACTTAACTGGACTCTATCAAGGATTTATTATATGAAAACTAACCACAAATAATGAGTTGACTAAGTATAAAATGAAACAAAAAATCTTCACTTACAGTAAATTAAAACTTCTTATCATAATGAAGTGTTTACAGTTCAAATCGTCCATCATCTACAGGAAGTCCACAGTGTAAAGCCCCATCACCTTTGCTCTGTCAACACTGTCCGCTGTGTCAATAAAGAGAAGAAAGAGTCCACTAAACCAGGCCAGTTAATCTTCACTCAGTGTAAATACTCACGCTTCATTCACATTTTCAGTGTTTTTGTTTTTTCTTTTCAGTTTGAACGGCTCATTTGTCTAAACCAGTGAAGTCGGATGAAGTGGTTTCCTTTGATCAAAATGAAAAATTCTGATACTGAACAAATATTGAAGTTTCTGTTTGATTGGGCAAAGTTTTTAATGTATCGTATTGCCATTAAAAGAGAAATATTAATGTTTAATTAAGTTACACAGAGAAGCAGAGATTTCATAATGCGGAAATGTGATACCTGATTTCAATATTATTACAGTTATATTTCCAAATGTACCTTTATTTTTCAATGTTATTACAGTTATAACTGAAAACATATCTTTATCCAGTGTTACTACAGTTAAATTTGTACCTTTTTTTCAATGTTATTAGAGTTATATTTCAAAATGTATATTTTTTTCAATTTTATTACAGTTATATTTCAAAATGTACCTTTTTTCAGAGTTTTTACAGTTAAATTAGGAAAATCTACCTTTTTCAATGTTATTACAGTTAAAAATGTACGTTTCTTTTTCGGTATTATTAGTTATATCTGAAAATGTGCCTTTATTTTTCAATGTTGTTAAACTTAATTTCAAAAATCTACCTTTATTTTTCCAGTGTTATTACAGTTAAACCGTAAACCGTACCGTAAAATCCGGACTATTAAGTGCACCTGAATATAAGATGCATTGGTTAAATTTTAACTAAATCTTTAAATTGTACATACATTGTCTGTGCCTGAATATAAGCCGCAGGTGTCCACGTCTTCAAGAACGTTTTCAAGTTGGGGCTGTCTGCTTTTATCACCTCAAAACGTTTGTTGTCTTTTTGTGTTGAGTCAGTTCGTCACGCTGCCGTCGCCAAAATCTCACCGTCGACTCACTGATGTTGAGCTCGCGTACAGCAGCTCCGTTTCCTTCTTCCACAGACACATCAATCAATCGCCTTTAACTTAAAAGTTGCATCATCTGCATTTCTTCGTGTATTTTCCATGAAAAGGGTGTGTGTATGAAGCACAAAATAACTGTTCAAAACTAGGGATGGGCAAAAATAAAAAATATTAATTGGATTAATCACATGAGCTCGAGTGCGATTAATCGTGATTTATAACATGTTATACTCAAAACCAATTAATAAATTAAAAAGTAGAGTATAGTGACTTTTATTGGAAATGTAAATGAAAGAGCCAAACATTTGTTGTTCAAACAGTATTTCTTTCACAGCGGAACCTCAGAGCCTTCAAGATAATCTGAAAACTCAACTCAAAAAATATTGAATGAATTTTTGTACTACTAATATAGTTTTTCAATATTTTTTATTCAGTGAGTAATAAACACGACACTAGTAATAATTTCTAGCTCATTGTTATAAACTTGGACTGATATTTCTTGGGAAACAAAGGGTTCATATAATGGAATGGAAATGGACCAATCACAGTTTTTCTTCCAGTGGTATCTGGGTAAACCAGTGACTCCAGCACTGAACTAAACAAACACCTGCAGGACCTTCAGTGG